AAGAGAGAGAGAGGAGAGAGAGAGAGAGAGAGAGCACCCCACTGAGACACCCTGTGTTTGCCCTCAAGGAAGCAGACCGGACCAAGGCTCTCCACTGTAGTTTAAGCTCAGTGTAGTTTTTTCCTAGGAGGAGTGAGGTTGAAGGCAATTTTCAGGGTTCTCTAATTTATAGTGAGCCCCAAACACTGCCCTGAGACTCTCGCCCAGAATCCAGTTGCTCACCAAGGGAAGGCACACCGGAGTACCTAGCCTGCTGCCCAGGCAGAAAGAGTAACAGGACAAGGGGATAATTTCAGGATCTGGCTGTCCTCTTGCCCATTACGGTAAAAACATGGTCTTATGGCTGGACACCTCCAGGACCTAACACCCCTGAGCCAGACACCTCTAGGACCTAACACCCCTGAGCCAGACACCCCTGAGCCCTGATGAATCTGGGCCCAAGTTACCTCCACAACAAAGCTCTGTTCCTGTTCCCTCAGGCGGCTGTAGGTTCCCAGCAGTCTCTGAAAGTGCTTCCACACTCGGGCACGCTGTTCCAGGTCAGGGGGACGAAGCCTGGGGGAAGAGCCAGGGAGGGCAAGGGTCAGTGGGAAAGCTGCTCTTGTCTGGCCCTGGTCAAGGCCAAGGACCCTGTCCCAGGTCAGCATCAGACACCCAAGTGGTCAGGCCAGCAGTGTGCACAGAGACCAGCAGTGTGCACAGAGGCCAGCAGTGTGCACAGAGGCCAGCAGTGTGCACAGAGACCAGCAGTGTGCACAGAGACCAGCAGTGTGCACAGAGACCAGCAGTGTGCACAGAGGCCAGCAGTGTGTACAGAGGCCAGCAGTGTGCACAGAGACCAGCAGTGTGCACAGAGGCCAGAGTGTGAACAGAGGCCAGCCGTGTGTATTGGTGTGAGTGAGCAGCATGGGCAGGGAACCAGGAAATGATTTCATTCCTCGGGTTCCTTCTCATATGGATATATAAGGCCACTTAGGGGTTGTTGGGGTGTGGCTCAGTGGTACTGTTTGCCTAGCATGGGTGAGTTCGAAGCCAACATTGAAAACAACAACAACAACAACAACAAGAAGTAGAGAAAGAAATAAAGGCAAGTCAGGAAGGGACAGGAAGGCACCTGCATCTCCTAGGCTTCTTACAGCCCCAGGGTTCTGTGAACCACCAATCCCAGAACCAGGGGTCAATGCAGGGTATTAGCCAGCACGGCCACCGTGGCTGTGTTCCAGGCGCCCACGGATGTGCTACAGCCTGGGTTATCGACACCACAACCACATGGCTAACGTGACCCAAGAAAACAATGCTGGTGGATCCAGCAAGTTTTCCTTCAAAATTCAAAAGACAGCGTCTCAGACCCTGAGGTTTTTCCATTCATGTGGGTGAATCAGGCAGTCCCACTCTGAACCTGACTCCTGTGGTCCTAACTCCAGACCACCCTCTTCCACGGCCCTTCCTTGCTCCATGCATGCTGTGACATAGGAGGCTATTCTCAGCCACCGAGGCTTAGTGTAGGCCCATGATGCCACAAGGCTGAGGGGACTGTGGATTTTTCTGTAGGGAGATTAAACAGCTTCATTGAGAAGTCAGAGGGATGAGTAAAATTCCCACATAATGTCAGAACGCTGAAGCAGGGAAGCCCAGGGCTGGGAGGGCTGGCTCCTGCTGCTAACCAGTTGGGTGGTGCTGGGGAGGTTGTCTACATTCTCTGCAGCGTTCTGCATCTGCAGAATGAAATCAGAGCACATGGCTCTTCTGAGCTCCACTTTCATGACCTGACTCACAGAGGACACGATAGTGACTCACTCCTTCCGGATGAGCTGGCCGTCCACCGTCACCAGCCCGAAGTGCACCTCGAACAGGTACTTGAGCACACACAGCTTCCTCCGCAGGTCCCCCTCGCTCTCGCTGTGGTCTCCGTTGATGGCGATGAACAGGCACTCCCCAAACTGTAGGTGGTCCGAGTGTCAGCTGGTCCCCCGGGGACTCCCTTTGCCTTCCAGGTCTCGGGGAGTAAGTAAGGGGAGGACGAGGCCTAGGGGACTGTTTCTGCCTTCCAAAGAGCTCTACAGTCCAAGGTAAGAAAGAGGCATCTGGCTCCCAAGGACTCCGTGGATTGTGGGTATGCTGAGGGCTGCGGGGCTGTCTACTTACCAGATGCAGGACATACAGGTGGCTGTCATTTTCTGTTGAGAAGCAGGTGTACGTGTCTGAGAGCTTCTCCAGCATCGTCATGGAGGAGATGGTGACTGGAGCCAGGAGGGTGCTGAGCTGGTCCTCCAGCACGGGGAGCTGCGGAGAGGGAGAGCAGAGCATGGGCCACCCCACATAGACGCTTGAGGTGTTGACACTGATATAATGTCTACCAACAAGGTAGGGCACAGTCATAGTTTGGGCATGTTGGAAAGTGTGTCAGATACCGGGAACATAGGAACAAACAAGACCCAGGCCTTACAGCAAGAGAGCCAACAGTGTCAGACCTGCCTGAGGGGCCACTGCTGTCCGACGGGGAAGGTAGAAGGAGAGGTACCCCAGACCTTGTGTGGTGCCTAGGAGGGTGGGCTTAGACCAGTGACTGCAGCTCAAGGTCCAGATCCAGAGGAAACATTTAAATGGGTTTGTCTGAGTGCAGTCCACAGGCCACACGTACTACAAGAGAAGCTACAACAGCAGCCCGACACAAGGCCACAAACTTGGGCAGTTCTGGTGAATTTTTTTCCATTTTTTCTTTTGTATTTCAATTGCATAAGTTTCAAGCATGAATTCTGCAAATAATATCTTGTCATAATGACAGACGTTTGGACAAACCTGTAAGGAATTGAGCCCCATTCCCCCGCTATAGTGCTTAGAGCATTTAGTTGAGACCTCTGTGACTCCAAGACGTCTACTACACATACCAAAGTCCATGCCATCTGTAGACATGGCCTACTTCAGGGAACTTATCCCAAGAAAGCAAGTGTGTGCCCACAAGCACGTTCATAACAGCAATGTGTGACGTCAAACAACTGGAGAAACCAGAAACATTCAGTCCTAGGAAAATGGCTAAAAAAGTAATACATCTAAACCACAGTTTCTTAAACTGTAGTTACAAACTGACAATAGTAACAAGGGTCTGAGCGTACAGCCACCAAAACCTAACTCAAAATAAAAAGCAAAACAGGGTCAAAGGAGACCTCAGCCTGACATACCTTGTGCTCTCTGCACCTTGTCATGGCATTGAGCCACATGTCACCAACGAACACAGCCTGTAACACCCCAGCTCAGATTTGAGATTACCGAATGCTATGGATTCCAGGTTTCTTACTGCTCACATCTTCTTTCTGATTCTTTTGTTGGCTTGTTTGTTTCGAGACAGGGTTTCTCTGTGTCACTCTGGCTGTCCTGGAACTCACTCTGTAGAGCAGGCTGGCTTTGAACTCAGAGATCTGCCTGCCTCTGCCTCTCCAGTGCTGGGTAGGTGTGTGTCACTACCACTCATAGTTTTCTGTTTTTATAGGAACATATTATTTTGCTTATGGAAAACACTTAGAGTTTCTTACTGTCATTTCTCTGCCTAAGTAATAAATTAGTGTGTCTCAGGCTATATTGTATTAGAGTATTTGGTTTTAAAAATAGGTCTTTGAGTGATTGACTTTAATTTCATAAAAATATTAACTGAATTTTGATTTGGGTTTAGGGCAGAATTACCAACAATTTAACAAATGGCAGTAATCATATTTCTACTATTTTGTGCTAATGTTTAGGTGAAGTTGTGTTCTTAGCATCAACAATAATAAAATCAAAATATAAAGCAGTCCAGAGAGTGCTTTATGTCCTGCAGTACCAAAATTTAATTAGTTTTATAAAACAGGTTTGTTTTATTTTAAACTCTGTGCATGCTGGCATGTACGTGTGTGCCTCTGTGTGCGTGCGTGTGTGAGTGTGTGTGTATCACTGTGCACGCAGGTCCCTATGGAGGTTAAAGAGCACACCAGATACCCTGGAGCTGGACTTATGAGCGGACTCATGCTGCCTGCTGTAGGCACTGGGAACTGAACTCAGATCTCTTGACAGCTCAGAACACTGAGCTCTCTCTCCAGTCCCAGGTATTATTCTTTAGTGAAAATGAACAAGTACGCCCGTGTCATTAGTGTTTAATAAATAAACAAGTACGCCCGTGTCATTAGTGTTTAATGTTGCTTTCCTCTTTCATTAATGAATACAGTTAGATTGTTCAAAACACTTTTAGTTACTTATTATTAGTAAGTGTTTAATTCCACATTTATTTTATACCTATACATCTGGGACCATGAATAACTATCTGTGGTAAAAGAGGTTGCAATGGAAAAGCTTATGAAGTCCTTAGCTAAGAGATGGAGAATCCATATAGCTACTTAAAATATTACTGTTTCAATGACTTAGGAGTGACCTCCCCCAACCCCACCTCTCTCTCCTGTTTCTATACTTTCTCTGTTCTCTAATAAGCATGTGTTTCCTCAGACATACTCTTCTCCATCATCCCTACTGCTCCTCCTTCCTTCCTTCTTCAATACTCTCCTTCATCATCCCTACTGCTACTCCTCCCCTCCCCAATACTCTTCCACTGCTCTTCCTCCTTTTCCCAATGCTCTTCCCCATCATCCCTAATGCTCCTCCTTTCTTCCCCAATACTCTTCTCCATCATCCCCACTGCTCCTCCTCCTTTCCCCAACAGCAGAAGGGAACAGCAGACACAAGAGCCTGTGAAACACTGGAGGAAGCTGACTAATTCTACCCTCAATGCTGGAGTGAGGAGAAGGGAGAAAATGCTGCTCTTGTTGACTGCAGACTGGAGAAGCTGGCTCCTCATCAGGAAGAGTGTTGGAATGCATAAAGAATGTAGGAATCCCTCACTCTGAAAACAGAACGAGAGGCTGCACAGCGCAGGCCCAGGCAGCTTCCTTACCCACCTTCTCACTGCTCGGGAAGCCAGCCCTAGGTCCCACCCCGGGGTCTGCTACACAGCTTCTTTGCTGTCACCTTAGGCTACCCACCGCAGTCACTCTCCTTCCACAGCCTACTCAGTGCTGTCAGCGGTGGAGCTCAGCCTAAATGCATGAAGTTTACTCTACATACAGTTCCCTGTCCACGGTGGCCCCTGGACCTTCGCTCCCTGAGAGCAGGGACACATCGCTAATGCTGCTGTGCCCCCAGAAGCCATTGCTATTGCTGCTGTGCCCCCGAAGCCAGCAAGCGTCAGGTTCTCAGTACTGTTAAGCAACTATCCCCTAACATAGGCAGGAACAAATGCTTGTGATTTATTAACGTTCTATTATTTTCTTTAAAAAATTCTATTGTTTTCTTTAACGGTCATATATTATATTGAAAGCCATTTAAAATATCTAGATTGAGTACAGTCACTTACCCTACAGTGAAATAAAAACAGTAGCTTTTTCAATTGAGAATCTCTTGTGACTAATTTTTTTTCAGTACATACAGAGTATAAAGGAATATTCTTATATGTCTATTGGTAAAATTATAAAGTGGCTTTCAACTCATTTTTATTTCTAGACTATTTAATTGGGCAAAGGGATAAAATTCAAGCACATCAGTGCTCCCAGAGTGATAGCTAACTAGGATGTATGTGTGTGCATGCACACATACATGTATATAACGGCACATAACTATCTATATATAAAGAAATCATTCAAGGAAAATACATTTATTCATATATTTGGATATAGTGGTACCATTGGGTATATGCTTTTGCATTCATTTAACAAAATGCAAGAATGAATTAATGTAATGAAATTTAAAAAATCGAGAAATGGAACGTAAATATGGCCTGACCCCACCATATAAAAGGTAGCTCCCCAAAGCAGTTTGCTAAGAGCTAATAGCACTAGGTGATGACATTAAGTGTTTCTTAAAAATTACTGTGGGTTCTCAGATTCCCCACAAGAACTCCTGTCACTCAACAGAAACTAAGTGCAGCATGCATACATCAGAACTCGGGGACTCCGGTCCTTACGCTAGCTACTTAGGAACAGAAAACACAGGATTTTGTTCCTGTATCAGGTTTTAATTGGATAAAAGAGCTGAAATATTTCTTATAAAATCTTAAAGAGTCTTGTTTCCTCTTGACAGTGGACAAGGGCATCACCAGGCTGATGCTGTTGTGGTGGGGGTGGGGCGGTGTGGGGGGGGCAGTGGGTGGGGTGGGGGCAGGGTGGGGTGGGGGTGGGGAGGGGAGAGGGGAGTGAGTTCAGCCAGGCACCAGTCTCATCCTTAGCTAGATTTGTGCATATCAGGTAATGCAAGAATGATTTGATCACTGCAATTCTAATAAAAATGTTTAACCCAGGCTGCAGAGATGGCTCAGTGGTTAAGAGCACTGACTGCTCTTCCAGAGGTCCTGAGTTCAATTCCCAGCAACCACATGGCGGCTCACAACCATCTGTAATGGGATCTGATGCCCTCTTCTGGTGTGTCTGAAGACGGCAACAGTGTACTCATATGCGTACAATAAATAAATCTTTTTTTAAAAGTTTAACTCAAAATTAACCCTGGAAAAATGCAAAATAAATGATTCCTATGAAACACACAACCGGAGTTATCTAAGAGAAGATGGCAACCATTTCCGAGTGATACTAAATACACCGCCTGTCCACATACAGAACAGCTTACAGCCATAGTCTACACTACATTCAATCCAAAGGTCCATTAGGTCCAATATGAAATCCAAACCTAAATCTGCCATGGAGGTGTGTGTCTATAATCCCAGTACTTGGGAAGTAGAGGCAGGAGGATTGCAAGTTAGAGGCTGGCCTGAGCTACCTAGTAAAATCTTGTCTGAATAGCAATAGGGGCTAGAGGTGGCTCAGTAAATAAAGATGCTTGCTGCCACGCCTGATGATCTGAGTTTGATCTCATGATAGTAGAATGAAAAACTGTCTCTCGAAAGTTGTCCTCTGAGCACCACACACAGGCTGTGGCATTTGAACACACATGTGTGCATGCACGCTCATAAATAAAAATTCAGCAATAGTAAAGACAACAAAACTCCCAAACCAAACCAAACCCCAAACTAAACAAATTCCAGGCGAAGATATGGGGAAAATTCCTTGCAATTTTAGGTTAGGCAAAGATTTCTTAGCTATGTTACCAAAAGCATGATCTGTAGCTGCAAAAATGGAAAATCGCAGTATCAGAACTGCAAACGCGTGCTCTTTGAAAGCATTCTCAAGAGCACGCACAGACAAGCCACAATCTGGGAGGAAATATTTGCAAAAGAGATCTAATAAAAGACATGTCTGAACTATGTAAGAAACTCTAAAAATTCAATAAGAATCACTTGAGAAAACTGATCTAATATAGGAAACAGGTTCAGCAAAGTAGTATATGAAAAGCTGTCCAGAGTCATTAGTCACCAAAGAATGAAAAATAAAACTCAGGATTTTAGCTGACATCTATTAAATTGGCTAAAATAAAAAAGAATGTATATTAAGTATCAATGAGGACCTGGAAAGCGGCTTGTGGGGTATAAAATGGTGGATAGCTCTTCTGTGGAGAGCTTGGGGGAGTCTCTTAGGAAGTATAGGGACTGGAGAGATAGCAAGAGCATTTGCTGTTTTTGCAGAGGATCCGGGTTCTAGTCCCAGTAACCACATGACAACTCACAACCACCTGTAACTTCAATTCTAAGTGATACAGTGCCCTCCTCTGGCTTCAGTGGGCATTGCATACAAATGGTACTCAGATACAGTGGTAAGACCTGAGGTTAATGTATAAGCCTACCCACCCAAGGATCAGGTAACCTCCCGGAATGCTGGGAGTTGTAGTTCTCGGAAAACAACTGCTCTCTAATGGTTGGACCGGTTTCTCCTTATAAGCCCCTGCAACATGTGTCTCAGGGTCACTCAGCTGGGAACTCCCGGGAATAGTCCTGACCAAAGTCCTTCCCAGTCAGTATTTAATTAAAGCTTGCTTCAAATTTGGCTCAAAAGGGTAGAATTGGTTTTTCTCTTGCAACTCTCAGGATTAACAACACTTGAAAAAAAATCCATATACATAAAACAAAACAACAACAAATACCCACAAAATCCAAACCCATACAAAGATGTATGTTCACATCCAATGGGTCTATGGTAACCAAAACCTGGGAACAAGTCAAATGTCCACCAAGAAGGAAACGAAGAAACGAATTACAGCCTATAGATTTGGTGGCGCTCGGTGACTGACAGGCGCTAAAACAGATTAAGACATGACAAAGAATCATGAGGTAAGAGAGCCAGCCCAAGCCAACCACAACAGGAAATGTACCCACACCGCTGTGTATGATTCCTCTAGACACAGACTCACCGGACAGCAAGCTGCTCACCGACTCTTAGGGAATAAAAGAGGGGCTAAAGCTTTTGGGGTGGCAGACAGTTCCCTGATTGTGACTGAATCTCAGATACAGACATATCAGATGGTATAATTTAAATGTGAACAGAAAACAGTTGGTCCAGTACACTTAATAGAGTTGTTAAAATGAATGCATTATGCACACGCCAAGCTTCTTTGGGTAGAGAATCTGACATCAAGTTTCTCTGTCGTGGGGCTAAAATTTACCTCCTTCCCCCGTCATTGGCCCAGACAGCTCTGGTGAGGTGGGAAACCAAAGTGCTCAAGACATCAAAGGGCTGCCTTGGCTGGCCATGCAGGGTCCTCCTGCCGACTAGGAAGAGGCACCCAGACCTCCCGGCCTTAGGTGGGTTTGGGGCTCCACTACCAATCCCCCACCTCCCCCCAGACAGCCCGCTGCTCTGCCCGTACCTCATCTTCCTCATTCTCTGACTGCCTGAACTTCCGCCGGAGGCTCTCCTCAAACTCCTCATCTGTCCAGTAGAAGAGGACTTCTGCACCCTCCGTGGCCACCAACACACACTTCATCTTCCAGGGGAAAGTGAGGGCAAAGGTCGCATCTATGAGTTCAGCCTGAGTAAGGAGACGAGCTTCACCACATAGGACACTCACTGAGCCCTTGGCTGCATGCCAGCCAGCACCCAGCCATTCTGGGGTTACCTTGTTGCCCCCTAATGAAGTAGTGACATGAGGGGCAGGGGGATGGGAAAGAGGTATACAAATCGGTGCAGTTCACTCTTCTCATTCTGCTTTTCAAGTGGGTGCTGTCCACCTCTCCACACCCCCCATCCTCCCACCCTGCCCCCCCACCCCCCAGGAGAGGAACATCATTTACCTTGGCAAAGCACACATTAGGGCTTCCAAGGAGCTAGACTCTGACCAGTTCAGCAAACAACAGCACAGCATCCTTGGGCCTGCAAATGCTTAAGACAGAGAAGGCATGAAGGCATGCAGAGGGTCTGGTCTCCACTGCCGCCTTTTCTTGAGTGGACAACCTGGACAAGAGCTGACAAGTCACAGGTTCCCCCATTTTAAGGACCATGAACTCGGGGAGTCCTTCATGTAGAGCAAGTGTGGATAGCACACTAGTTCCTACCTCCTCTGCAACTGGACAGTTCTTAGTTTATATTCGGAGTCACTCGGTCACAGGTGTGGTCGGCAATCCCAGCCTGAGCAGCCCCAGGGAGCTGTGAGCAGTGATTGGTTACCACACAACCCATCCCAGGCTGGCCGGGAGTAGTCCCAGTGAAAAAGAAACGGCATCCGGGTTTGGTTCTGGCTTGGGCTTCCCTAGGTCACGTTCAACTCGGAGCTTCAAACTCCCACTGGGAGGCCAGGGAACAGAACCATGTTGCACCTTCCTACCGGGTTACGGGGAGACACCAGCCAGGTTGCAACCTCAGCCCAGTAGGCTCATCTTAGGGACAAGAAGGGTGGGTGGGTGGCTATCTTATTTCCCGGCTTCAAATAACAAGAGAAATAAGCCGACTCTGGAATCCTCCCATTTTGATAAGAGACAAGAAGAAGTTAAAGCAGAGGAGGAAGGTTCGATCCTGGGGGTTTTGAAAGCAACGAAACTCTGAGCCTGGCTGCACTACCCTCAGGCTTGGCCTTGATGGCAACTTCCGGGAAACACCCGCACGCTTCTCGGTGGGTATTAGGTTTCACGGTTTTGGCGATGATCTTCAAAGGCTGCTAACCTCATTTTCTAACCTTTGTTCTCTTTATTTCTTGCTCTAAAATGAGGGAACTTTGAAGAGAAGGGCGATCCTGGGAAAATCCCCTGCACTCACTTTTACCACCGGGTCAGAGCACTGTCCCCAGCAAACTGCCCCAGTGGTCAGTCCCGCCAAACCCAGCTCAGTAGAGGAGTGGGTGCGAGGGGTGGGGACCTAGCCTGCGATGCTCTAGCGTGAGTAGCTGGCCTAGGAGGGAGTCTCCCGGTGCCACTTAGCACCGCGTCACTACGTGGCTCCGCCCAGTAGCTGCTTAAGCACTCCAGCAATGACACCCACCTCCCCCTCTCCTCCCGGGGAGGAAGGCCTGGCTTGTGACGCCTGCTCCAAAAGGGCAAGAGACTGAGTCGGTTCCCCCGGGAGCCCGGGCGTCTCCAAGCTGGGAGGGCTGGACGAGGGTAACCACGGAAGGGCGACCCAGGGCGGCGCTCGGTCACTCACGATGCCCACGTACCGGATCCGCCGCTCGCACCTCCCAGAGTGTAGCCAGCCTGCGGCGCGCTTCCGGGTGGGACACATGACCCAGCCACATGACCCGGGCCTGCTTTGTGGGTTCGAGCCCCGCCCCATCAGGCATTGCTCTCATTTGGCAGTGCTTTTGCCCTTCTGGTCACTGCTCTTGCTGGTCTCCTGTTTGGTAAACTGCGGGTGCCAGGGAGAGGTGCCACGTTCCCCCTGGCATAAGTAGGCATCCCACTGCCTTTAGAGGCACCTGCTGAGCGCCGGTGACATTTCTTCTAGAGGCCCTTTTGCTTGACTTAGCTAAAGGAATTTTCCATAGTTTTACAAAAGGGACAACTGAGGCCCCTGAGAGAAAACCAGCTTGCTGAAAAGGGACCAAATGGAACCAGAACTCATGTTTCCTTGCACCTCCACTGGGCCCTTCCTAGCCTTTAGTTTTCTTGCCGAATCTGGTTGTGGGTACTAGCTACCCTTTTGTGGGTGCTTACCCTTACTTACCCTCCGGTGGACTGAACCCATGCAGAAGAGCCCAACTACCTTTGGTGTGTCGCAACTCCTTGATTTACTAGGGTTCCCAATCGGACTGAGGGCTGCATGCACATTAGGGCTTTTGTCTTGAGCCTGTGAGTGATTGCAACCTATTAAGATTTTATGTGTATTTGGAATGGCGAAAGGAGTAAAGAAGCCAATGTAGTCCGCAGAAGGAGCCTACCCGGGTCCTCACTGGGTACCGTGGTGCTACAGGGAAACTTGTGTACAGCCCAGTAGGGAAGGAAATGCAGCAGGAACACGCCCCACCCACAAGGCAGAAGCCAAGAGACAGTGCCACGGCCACTCCAGCTACCAGAGGTCCAAACAGCTTCGCGTGCGCCTGTGCCTTCCCCACCACCCTGCTTAGCCGGGCTCCAAAGTACAGCCAAAAGCATCTGTGTCCTTGAGTCCTGAGTCTGCCAGTGCTATCCTGCTGATTTCGGTCGTTTCCCTCTTGTTTCAAACAGTTTGTAAGCTTGAATAACTGTTACTCAAGAACAATTTATAGCCAGTCTAGTTCATGCTACCTGATGCTAGTGACATGCGTTTTACAGATGACTAAAGGTGGTTTCTCTTCATTTGTGTAGCTTTTATTTTTTTCTTTCAAATAAATATTTATTCATATCTTTTACTCCTTCTATTATTCTATTCCATTTAAATTGCCTTTATTACTGGATTGTAAGATTTCTTTAGGTTCTAGATATGTTTTAAATTAGATATATATTTTAAAAATTCCATTATTTGGTCTGTCTTTTCACTGTGTGTGTGTGTGTGTGTGTGTGTAAGCGTTGTCCATGAGTGCATGTGGCGTTTGCGGCTTTTTGGTCAGGCTGGCCACCAGCAAACTCCAGAGCACTTCCTGTCTTTGCCCAGTCACAAGCACCTAACCCAAAGTCCTCATTTTATAGATGAGGACTCTGAGGGACGGAGAGTCTAGACAATTTCTCTTCTGAAGTGACCAGAATCGGTCTGGTAGAGCTGCCATGGTCTGTGGATGTGGCTAGCTTCCTCAGAGGCCCAGAGGCCCACTTTGCAGTTTGCTCTATAGCTCATTTCTCTGAATGGAAACATTCTCTTTTGGTGGAAGGCGGGGCTTTTGAGGCTCAAGCTCACAAAACATAAAAACCTTGGAAACTCAGTAGATTATAGGATTCCCAGGTCCCTCCCCAAGGTTACGAAAGCTAGGGAGAGAAGGTTCTAGGAGTGAGGGAGCCAGCTTTCATGGCTTGTCCTCTATGCTGGGTTGGGTTTTGTGTGGTACAGTCGCCTGTGCTCCTGGAAGTCACTCCAGTGATTTTGTTCGGTCATCAAGCTAGACTTGAGGGAATAATTTTTTTCTGGTTCGTTGTTGATGCCCTGTCTTGGCTGGATAGACTTTGCTTCCAGGAAAAGTCACACACCACTGGGGTTTTCAAATTATGTTTTTGATATGTCCAGAAGAGGGCGCAGTATCTAGTACTAACAATGAGTGGATAGGCGCGGACTAATTCAGGTTGTTCTTTGATCCAAGAACTAGGTTGTCAGGACTTGAGGAGTGGGGCAGGTGAAGAAGAAAGCTCACTTAGGGAACCGTGTAACAGGTTCTGTAGATTTTGGTATCACCATAGAAACGGTAACTGTCACTCGATAGCAAACGCGTGGTGGGACTGCGTGCCAACCATGGCTTCTCCAGTCTCCCCGCACCCTTTAGCACTTTGTGTTTCGTTTTCACAAAGCAAATGCTGGACAGTGGCTTCCCAGGCACGGGCTTCACTTTCTAGAGCCCAGTTCTAGATGGGTCTGTGGACTGAGTGGTCCAGGCCAGGGCCCTAACTATTCTCACTTGATCCTACATGCTCTCTCTCCATGTTTGTCAGCCCCTCATGGGTACCCATAGTATCCCTGAAGGGAAGTGCTGAGGATGGCAGTGTGTCCCGTCAGTCTAGACAGGAGTGACTGTATGTCACACGACCTCTGCCCCTTTCACATCCCCACTGACTGAACTTTAGTTGATTCATGAACAAGGACCTTGATCATAATAGCTATCAAGATGGTATGGTTTACATATTAGTATAACCCCAGATCCTTAACCAATACATCCATGACGTCTAACCTGAACTATGAAAGACAATTTCTACTTCAATGGTTGAGGCAAGGCTTGTTGAGGCGAGCAGGAAGGCAACAATGTCATGAAATCAAAGGCCCCAGTGTGTGTTAGGTGTGTGTTAGTGTTGAAGTCTAAGTTCTCAGACTTAGGTCCAGGAGTGGTGTGGAAAACCGTTGCCCCTCCCTCAATAAAACACCCTGACCACAGAAAGTTAAAGTAGTCATATTTTATTTCTTACAAAACAGTACCTTAAAAAACAAACAAACAAACAAACAAAAAACACTACCTCATGGCCTTGAACTCTCTTGCAATCACCAGGTTTGCAAAAGCTGCAATTTAATATGTGTTCTGGATGTTAAGTTAACGCCTGTTAGAATCCCTGCAGAAACAGCCTTCCCCGGAAGGAAGGTCTCCTGACCTCATCTCACTGGCTTCCAGATGAATAAAGCCAAGGCTTCTTTCTATTTCTTCTGAAATTATAATTTATTACATAACATTTACAAGTTGGACCCAGGGTGTTTTCCTGAATAATAATTAGAAGAGTAACATTCCTGACTTGGGCTGTCAGAAGGACTCCTTTTCCACTGCGGGCTAGCAGGACCATGGTAGGAATTAATGAGCCAGTCAAATGGAAACTTCTCAGCTCCTCCCAAATGCTCCCTGCTTTCACAGGGGCTGCTCTAGAGTTTAGGAGAAAGCTGTGCCAATGTGGTTGGTTTATTTTCATGTTTCAGAGTGTAATTTGCAAGTATTTGCATGTGGTATCACCCCTGGGGTGCTGCTATACCATTTACTGCTCAGTATGGGCAGATATAGAGACTTCCAAACCTGAGTGGTGGAGGGCAGGGAGGGAAGGGAGACAGTGCCTATGGAAGTGCTGGCTGGCTCTGCCATTTACCTCCCAGGATGCAGAGATACCATCCATCATCACCAAAGGCAGGTCAGGGCTGTGGGAATGGTTTTTAGCCTGTTCTACAGAGAAACCTGAAGAAGCAGACCAGGAAGGTGACTGTGCCATGGTGAGCCTGGACGGCAGAGGCTGGTCACTGCCCTCCTCACTATACATCAGAGCTACTCCTGGGCTGCTTCAAACCTGAGGTCAACTGCTCTCCCAGCAGTGGGATGGGCACAGGGGATTGGGAAAGCTAGTGGTGGGCAACAGAGTTGAGGAAAGGGGCAGGGTGTCATCAGTGCAGGTTTTGAAATTCTGCAGACCTGAGTCTAAGCCCATTCTTGTCTGCTTATATGGATGTGTGTGAAGGTTCCTTCTCTATCTTCCTGGTGACGATAGAGTCTAAATACTGATGAGAAGGGTATCTTACAAAGGGACGGTGGTCCTTTACTCTACAACTTCCAGTTGTTTGGGCCTTATACTAGGATAACTCAACCTGGCATTGCCTCCGTCTGGGATACTTCTTCTTCTCTTCTTTTCAATGGCTACAGCCTGAGAAATGAGCACAGACAATTTTAAAATTGGATTCTCACTCTCACAGAAGAGCAGATTTCTTTGGGCTCCCTCTTGGGAGACAGTGGCTGGCGGAAGGAAGGCCATGGAACTAGAGAGTAATAAGCTACTGGGAAGTAGCCACCAACAGTGTGGGCAGGGCCAGTGCTGCTGACACTGCAGTTCTAGCTCTTCCTTCCTGGGCTTCTCAGATACATCACTATCGTTCTGTGTTGCTGTTTGTACCTCAAATATTAAAGTCCTCTCATTGCTGGTGTTTTGACCATTATAGAATTCTACCCGGTTTGCCTTTCCTTCTACAGAGGTTAAGTGTTGACCTTTTGTTCTGGAAAGAAGGCACGCTTCGTGGATTTGCAAGGCACAGCCTAGCCTCGGAGTGCTGTGTGCATGCAGGACACCCAGATGGAGCACACTTGAAGATGACAGTCCGGCCCAGAATATGCTGTCTGCAGATGCTCAGTGGTTAACTCTCCGGAACCCCAGTGCTCACCCTGCTGCTGGAAGTGGGTGGAGGATCCTCAGGCAGAACCTATCAGTTACCCTTATCCTGAAAGAGAGTACAGGGCGTTGAGCCCACCCCCTGGGGGCTTACAAAGTGCCCAGCAAGGGCAGAACTTAGAAGGAGCCCAGGAGAGAGGACTGCAGAAGAAATCCTGGTTTGGGGAGCCCCAGGTCTTTAGTCTCACAGTTGCTTGAGTCTGATATTTTCAAGCCTTTCTCCAGCTAGGAGATAATGCTAATATCCCACAGAGGCAGCTTTTTGCAGGGCATTAGAAAAATGGGGACTTTCTCTCCCAATAACAATGAGAATTTATTCTGAGGCTTTGTGATAAGAAATGAGAAAGAAAATCATTCCTAGAGGCAAGGGGAGCAGAAAACCATCTCAACAAAAGGCACAAACTTCTCATTACGCGTGATTACTCTCTCAATGCACATATCCACAAGCCCATTCTTTGGTTTAAAATGAAGGGCTCTTAAGCCTTTCATGATCGCTGCTGTATCTGGCTTGATGAAGGAAAACTGACCCAGAGAGGCCCGGTGGAGGATGGCTTTCCTCTTCCCCAGATGCCTCTCTGGATTGCACCCTGCTGTTTACTGGAAACTGTGTTTGGGTGAATGTTTGGGTAGAGTCCCTGGCAAGAGCAACATCACTGCTCCTCCCACCCCTCCCCCAGGGTGTCAAGACACACCCTGTGGTAAAGCTGCTATGTAGGGTGATGTTCTAGTGAGTGTCTTGGTGCCCTCTGAGAAATGCAAATACTTCTTCCTGGAGATAGTTGTGAAGACAGAACTGCAGGGCTCTAAAGATAAATTTCATTGCTTCCCTCCTCCCCCTTTATTAGCTCAAAAACAAACAAAACTTCAACCTCATGGGTGCAGCATTTAATTCACAAAGACAAAGGCAGCAAAAATGACCTACATTCTGGGAGACTTAGTGAAGAGTTAACGCCTATTTACAGAAGATGTGTTTGTGTGGGGCTCTGGAAGTCTTGGTTATATAGAGCAAGCAGTCCACCAGGTGAGGGCAAATCTGTGACAGAAAAAGCCACTGAGCTTTTTCTGACTGAGTGACTGAGTAGGTTCTGGATGATTTCCCACCTCACTATGTGATGCTGGGCAGCCGGGCCCTTCCCACGCCTCGTAAGTGTGCAGGATAACAACAGTAACTTTATTATGTGGCTTCAACATATGTAAAGCAAACCAGCTCAGGGCCTGGCATCACCTTACTGTTATCAGGGGCCCTGCAGCTGCACCCAGACAAGTACTTAGAAGAGATTCTGAGACATGTTCAAGAAAAAAACAAAACAAAACATCTGTCTGTCTCCTTTCCCTTCCTCCCACGTTCTTCCTGACTTTGATCCAACTGTCTCTTCTTTTCTCTTTTCTTTCCTTCCTTTCCCTTCCCTTCCCTTTCCTTCCTCCCTCCTTTTTTTCTTCCCTCCCTCCTTCCAACCTCCAGTGCTGTGCTGGAGCTTCCTTGGAAGGTGCCTGAGAAGGGAAGGTCCCCGGGAGCCACCATTTCCAGATGCTTCCACGCTGGCCAGCCCGTCTTCAGTCCTCTGCCCTTGTATGCCCTAGTGTATTCACTGTGTGATGCTCATCCTGTACTGAAAACGAGCAGACCAAAGCCCAATCCCACTGTCTTCCTTACGGGGAGAATCAGGTGGGTGGCTCCCCTCTACAAATTCCCAGCTTTCCAAGCTCAAAGTCATGGGCACCTTGCTGCCTACCTTCCTCTTGTCTCTCACTTTGCAAATGGGACTAAGCCCTTATCCTTCAGGCATCCTAGGCATACCCCTGTTGCTTCCCCAAGCCTGTCTGTTTACAACAAACAGTGCCCTGTCCCCTACTTATCTGGCACCCAGGAGTGTCAAGGGTCCCCTTTCTCCTTGAAGGTAGCATCATTCACATCGTATTGTTTCTGAGGTCAGTCATGTCCACAGAAAGTCAGTGTGCCTGCAGCTTGTTTCCAAAGTCCCCCATACCCTGAAGGTCCCAGTGGTGGCCGTTAAGTCCCTCCACTCTGCCCGACTCAGAAGCCCTCCACATACCGTTTATCTGTTTTGCTATCAGATGGGGTCTCCATTCTTCCTAACAGAGCCAATAGCAGACTTTGTACATGCTCAAGTACATCCACTTGGGGTAGGACGGAACTGGTCACCTTTAGTCTTCCTCTCTAGCAAATGTACTGTGACTTGGCTATGTGGGAAGAGGCAGAAAGGTTTGACTGTGTCTGCAATGACTTCATTCATGCCTTCTTCTCAATGGTTTTTGGTCAATCGAACAACTAAGGCATTCTTACTGTCTTGAGTCTTTGAAATCCTTTCAGTTTGAGGGCAAGGTCTAAATTGCTTTGTTGGATCAGTGTGTGTGTGTTTGATGTTTCCGTGTGCTTTTTCTTTGTACTACAACTCTCTCCCTTCCGGCAGCATGAAGAATGATGATGTCTTCTTGTGGAGCCTAATGCACTGCTCTCCACTTGGGGAATATTGTTACCTGACTCCCATCCCGAGCTGGAGGGAGTCGAGATTCACAGAGGAACAGAACCTTATGAACGTTAGAGTATGACTGTAATTCTACTTGTGGAGCACCCGTTCCCAGAGGACCAGCCAGTGATGGATGCCATTGTCAGAAACCCAGATGCACACACTCACACATCAGCCAGGAAATGATATAAACAGCTCACCCAGCAGGCCAGAGCTGACTCACCCATTAGCTCCTCATGGGAAGAGAGGTGTCAGGAAACCCGAGGAGCAGCAGGAAACAGACAAAGGAGGAGTTAGAAGAGGATTAGATTTGCACCGCCACCCACTTCTCCCCCTCATCCTCTGCTGAGGGCAGCAGCCATAGGCTAGGGCCTGGGGTTTGCAGTTAGTTACACTGCTGTGTGGTCAGGCCCGCAGGCAGCTGGTTTGGAAACACTGCTGGAAGCTTGCTGTCAGCTGTTTGTGCGTAAATAGACACACATCTTTATCTTTGCGTAGGAACAGAGGATGTCTACATTTTCCTTAGGGACAGAATGCCACCTACCTAGACTAAGCTCACACTATGACATTTAGTCTCCCTTTGGAGAGTCTATGTTGCCCCAGCAGCATGGGAGTAGAGGCTGGTTGCTAAAGAAGGTGTCTGAGGAATAAGGGCGCTACGTGTGTGGAGGAGAGAGCAGTCCAGCAGGCCCACCAGTAGCTCAGGAACAGAGGGTGTCTTATCGATAACGGCAGGCCAAAGCGTTGACATTCTTGACCACATAAAAGCCCATGGTGACTGGAGGGATGACCAACGTCCGGCCAGCCCGCAGGGGGCGGGGCTTCAGTTCGGGAAGGGTCCCGTCGTCCACCATCACTAAGGGCTGGCCATTGAGCTGCACTGACCTACGGCAGGGGAAAGAGGAGACTCATTAGCACACACTTGCATCTTGCATTTCTTTGACAGGTAAGGGAATTGACATGCAACTTGGTTAGAATTATTCTGGAATGACAAAGACAAGCCAATGGCTCCGATGTTTCAAGTTTAAGAATGAGTTTCACAGTTAATGCGTAATAGATGTTTCCACTGTAGCAGTAACAACAAAGCCAGCGGCAATGTGGGCATGTGTGACCACACTCATGTCCCCCGGTTGTTTTTATTCTTTCTGTGTAACTAGACATTTTCAGCTCATAGAAAGGGGACTGCATCCATAGCAAACTCTGTAAAGGCAAACGGCTCATCTTAGGCTGAGTGGGAAGGAAATGGCAGCCATCTTTGGCATAAGGTAGAGAATTCCAACAGCTTCCCATCTCTTCCTGGTACTGTCCAGGTATATGGATGGGAAGAAAAATTCCAATCAGGTCACCAGTCGGAAATACAGCTGCAGATCGCGTTCAGACAACCAGCCCTGCACAGTGCAGGCTGTCTTCGGTCCTTGCTCAACCTCCATGGTGACAACACCACCATATGGTGTGGGGAGGGAGAACGGACTGAAGGCCTGTATTGACTTCATCAAATATGTAAGAAGCTCTTGATTCCAAATGTCAGGTTCACTTTTACCTCCTCACTGTGAAGACAGCCTGTTTATTGGAGGGACAAGTGGGGATGGTCCAGACCCAAAAGAAGCCTCGGGCAGGTTATATTTTTTCTACTTTATTTTATTTTTATTTCAGGTGGTGTGGGTATCCAATGACCAGCGACCGGTAATACCGATTCACTTTCTAAAGCATACTTGAATGCACGTCACCTCTCTGCTGGCAAGCTACTTACATGTAGAATCAAGTGCAAGGGTTTAGGTTAAAAAGCTCTAGATTCAGACACTGCCAGAGTACTGATGCCTTTGGGTTCTGGGAAGTGCAGAACGACGTGTGAAAAGCAAACGCTCAACCATCATCAGTAGCTGCTCTGCATCAGCCCCTTCGGCGTCTCCTCATTGTGGGTTACAGATAGAATCAGGAGCCTGGATAAGCCCCTGCACTGAAATCTCCAACTTTAGGAGCTAGGTCAGTAACTTAGGAGCTGACTGACAAACCCCTTACTTGCTCGGCCCGGAAGCTTCTGCACCTGTAAGACTATCCCACAGCTACAGTGTGAATGCGAGGAACTAAAGAGAACAGAAGGACTTTGGCAGCTTAAGAACCAGGCAGTGGGAGGCGTGTCCACTGTTGTTCTCGTGGTCACTGTGGACTGCTCTGCTCCTGGTCATTCTTGGCTTCTCTAAGGAACTGAGTTTCTTCTCGACCCTTTCTGCAGAGCACCTTCCCCTCCCCTCTGGCTCCCACGGCTTTCTCCTCTCTGTTGGTTCTCTCCCATCTTTGGACGTTGCTTCCGCCTGTTGACGGGAGCCGTTCCTTTCTTACCTGCCACCCAGATGTAGAGTCCCATGTTTTGTTCCTGGGCTCTTCTTAGACCATGGGCTCCTTATAGGGGGTGCTACCCATACCCGTTACCGTGATTACTATTCCGTGTCATCAATTCCCGAGGCTGTATCTCCACCCAGGCCCTTCTTTTGAACTTAAATACTTCTAGTTAGCAGCCCCACAGAAGCTTCAAAGTCACATGATCCAGTTCAAACCCTGCCTGAAACTCTGCTTTTAAACACATCTGTGACCGCACCACCATTTAGCCAGTCAGACAAGTAGAAAGCTGGGAGTCTTCTGAGATGCCTTCCCCAACCCGACAGCCAGCGTCACAGAGGGAAACCCATTCTGTCTTTAATGCTTGCCAAGTCCGCTGTGTTTTGCCTTCATCCCTATCACCATGGCTGAGAACTTGCCTCTCCTGGCGTCTCTGTGCCTCCTGCTTACAGATGCTGTCTGTTGGCACTGCACTGCCTGGCACCTCCCAACCTTCCCATATGATGCTGACTTCGCCTACTTCTCTACTTTCAGTCCTGGGGTCTCCGGCTGTGCACTGCAGGGGCAGGTGGGGTATGAGCAGTTTGTGTGAGGACGTCTTCAATACATACATATGCAAAGGTTTAGAATTTTAAAAACACCTTACACATAGATGGAGTAAATTTTTTTTCAGAGGAAAGTGTTAAGCAGATATGTACAGTGGGATTAAAATATTCAGGGGACATGGTTGAGATTAATAAGATAAAGTTTCACTTAAAACTGTTGTAAAATTATTATTATTATTTTGGGAAGATTTTTTTTTACCATTCTTGAAAAGATAATTACATTTTTATTTATGTGAATACATATGTATACTATGCTATGTGTGGACTGACCTCAGAGGCCAGAAGTGTCAGTGATGCTAGAGTCTGGCTGGGTTGCCTGATTGGTGCTAGGAACCAAAGCTGGTCCTCTGGGAGAGCAGTAAGCACTACTAACCAGTGAGCCATCTCTCCAGCCCGTGGAAGAGACTTCATGATAAAGACTGGAGTGAGCCAGCCTGGGAGCACACAGGGAGGGACCCGTGGCTCCAGCTGTATATGTAGGGGAGGATGGCCTTGTTGGACATAGGTGGGAAAGGAGGTCCTTGGTCCTGTGAAGGCTGGATGCCCCAGTGTGGGGGAATTCGAGGGCAAGGAGGTGGGAGTGGGTGAGTGAGTGGGTGGGTGGGTAAGTGAGTGGGTGGGTGGGTGGGATCACATCCTCATAGAAGGAGGAGGAAGGAGGATGGGATATGGGGTTTCTGGGTGGTGGTGGGGATTGGGGAAAGGGGATAACATCTGAAATGTAAATAAAATATCCAATAAAAAATTAACTAAAAAAAAAAAAAAGACTGGTGTGAGAAGGTAGGCATTTGTCTGAATGTCAAAGGAACCTCCGTATTAGAAGAAGCTGGGCTTCTTCGCTCCAGCTTGTGCAAATCAAGTGGCTGTCGGTTTTACTTCCAGGTCCTTGGGGAGCTGATGCCTCCACTAGCAGGCAGCTGCCCAGTCCACTCTCAGCTGAGCTGAGGGAAAATCCTTGATGTCTGCTTGGCTGTTTCTTGCTCTGAACAACTTTCTCTAACCCTTGGGTGAGGCTCTCTGAGCTCCGCCCTCCTTTCTCTGTGGTGTAGGGATGAACTATGTTGTGTCTCAGCGTGTTGTGGAGACACAGTGTGCAAGTATAAGACAGGGAATCAACATATTTTTGGAACAAGTGAATGGTCTTTGAGACCCTTTGCAAAATCTCTAGGCTTCCCCCATTAGTTTCTGTGCTCAGGAGGCTCCCTGGAGGTTTGCAGAGAGTGCCTTTATAGATTCTATTAACTAGCAATCACTCTGCCTCTCAGTGGAGATGTTAGATAAGATCTGAATTATCACTGCTTCTCACAGTCACTCACCTGACACCTTATTCCCACTGGACAGGAGGCCATTGATCACTGATAGTGTTTTTCATCAAAAAAAAAAAAAAGAAAAAAGAAAGAAAGAAAGAAAGAAAGAAAGAAAGAAAGAAAGGAAAAAGAAAAAGAGAAAGAAAGAACGAACAAAGAAAGAAAGGAAAGATCTGTGTGGCCGTCTCCCGGCTAGGCTGGCCCGAGTTACTTTGTGGGTGAGGCTGTTTGAGACTTGGGTTCTCGCAGCCTTTATCCTCAAATCCCTCCATTTAGAGAGGGGTGAGGTGCTTCATCACCCCCTTTGTCCTCCTCTCTCTGCTTTTGTTTTTCTTTTAATATTTATCATGCAGTGAAATCATATCATGCTCAACGTGACACTGTCCTTCAGGTGTATGCAGTGAGGAATCGGCATGTTTGCAATTGTATCAGTGGCGAAAGACAAGACCATGGATTGTGGACTGCTTTGGTGTGAAAGGTAGGGTTCTTGGATTTGCTTTGCCTGGGCTCATTCAATCCAGGCATGCAGCAAGTTCATGCATCATGTGAGCAAATCAAAGCCTAGATGGTCTAAAACTTTTCTGAGTCACAGAGTCAGTAAGAGGCTGGCCTGAGAGGTGCAGGGATTCCCTCATCTACAGTCTTGTCTGGCCGTCATGACAGGGCTAAAGCGCCCATGCCATATGAAAAGCTTTGTTATTTTTTAATTGCACCACCGAGACATGGTCAAAAAGGTCAAGTGGCGTCGGCAGGGTCACAGAACTAATAAGCAGGTAAGCCAGGGGCTGGCCTGCTGACTGCCTCCTCCTATTTCATGTTGTCTGTCCCAGTCTCTTTGCTGTTCTTATCATGCTGTTCTCATCAACTTCCTTGCTGGGTCATGACTTTTCAACAGAATGTTAACTGGTCCAGCCAAGGCTGAAGTATTTCTCTTAACTTCCCAGCCTCCTTGAATTGCTGAGGGTACCTAAACTATCCAAATATTGGGACAACTGTGTTTTATTGCTTTTTGTTTTTACAGAGTTTGAATTACTTTCCAATTTCTAAACTTGTTTTCTCAGTTTTATGTGTTAATTGAAATGGGATTTGATGTGTCAACTCAGAGTCAAGCCCTCTGCGCCCCAGTTCTCCATGGGGCACCGTGACCCGGCTACTCCACCT